GATATTGCCCTGAAAAGTAGCCTAACTGCACAATGTTGCCCAGAGGGCGATATTACCTAAAAATCATATCAAGATTTTTCCAAACTTATGGGCGATTTACAATATACAGTCGTGGTCAAACGTTTTGAGAATGACACAAGTATTGGTCTTCACAAAGTTTGCTGCTTCAGTGTTTTTAGATATTTTTGTCAGATGTTACTATGGTATACTGAAGTATAATTACAAGCATTCCATAAGTGTCAAAGGCTTCTATTGACAATTACATTAAGTTTATGCAAAGAGTCAATATTTGCAGTGTTGACCCTTCTTTTTCAAGACCTCTGCAATCCGCCCTGGCATGCTGTCAATTAACTTCTGGGCCACATCCTGACTGATGGCAGCCCATTCTTGCATAATCAATGCTTGGAGTTTGTCAGAATTTGTGGGGTTTTGTTTGTCCACCCGCCTCTTGAGGATTGACCACAAGTTCTCAATGCGATTAAGGTCTGGGGAGTTTCCTGGCCATTGACCCAAAATTTCGATGTTTTGTTCCCCGAGCCACTTAGTTATCACTTTTGCCTTATGGCAAGGTGCTCCATCATGCTGGAAAAGGCATTGTTCGTCACCAAACTGTTATTGGATGGTTGGGAGAAGTTGCTCTCGGAGGATGTGTTGGTACCATTCTTTATTCATGGCTGTGTTCTTAGGCAAAATTATGAGTGAGAAGCAACCCCATACATGAATGGTCCAAGGATGCTTTACTGTTGGCATGACACAGGACCGATGGTACCGCTCACTTTGTCTTCTCCGTACAAGCTTTTTTCTGGATGCCCCAAACAATCGGAAAGGGGATTTATCCGAGAAAATGACTTTACCCCAGTCCTCAGCAGTCCAATCCCTGTACCTTTTTGCAGAATATCATGTTATTCCTGGAGAGAAGTGGCTTCCTCGCTGCCCTTCTTGACAACAGGCCATCCTCCAAAAGTCTTCGCCTCACTGTGCGTGCAGATGCACTCACACCTGCCTGCTGCCATTCCTGAGCAAGCTCTGCACTGGTGGTGCCCCGATCCCGCAGCTGAATCAACTTTAGGAGACGGTCCTGGCGCTTGCTGGACTTTCTTGGGCGCCCTGAAGCCTTCTTCACAACAATTGAACCTCTCTCCTTGAAGTTCTTGATGATCCGATTAATTGTTGATTTAGGTGCAATCTTACTAGCAGCAATATCCTTGCCTGTGAAGCTCTTTTTGTGCAAAGCAATGATGACGGCACGTGTTTCCTTGCAGGTAACCATGGTTAACAGAGGAAGAACAATGATTTCAAGAACCACCCTCCTTTTAAAGCTTCCAGTTATTCTAACTCAATCAGCATGACAGAGGGATCTCCAGCCTTGTCCTCGTCAACACTCTCACCTGTGTTAACGAGAGAATCACTGACATGATGGCAGCTGGTCCTTTTGTGGCAGGGCTGAAATTTAGTGGAAATGTTTTTTGGGGGATTAAGTTCATTTTCATGGCAAAGAGGGACTTTGCAATTAATTGCAATTCATCTGATCACTCTTCATGACATTCTGGAGTATATGCAAATTGCCATCATAAAAACTGAGGCAGCAGACTTTGTGAAAATTAATATTTGTGTCATTCTCAAAACTTTTGACCACGACTGTACACACTCCTCTGTCCAATGCCCTCCTGCACACTTCCCACATCTTGGAATCTCCCTCCTACACTCTACTGCAACATGACCATAAACGTTGCACCTGAAACAGCACAGTAGATTCTGAACAAAAGCTCTAACAGGATAACTGATATATCCTAACATGATGTCTTCCTCAATACACATCTTCCCACTACACTCGGCTCTTCTCCTTCTTCCTCGCTGTCCATAACCACATCTATCTGTTCACCACGCTCTTGCCATGCCTTCATCCACTGGATTGCTGGCAGATGTGTGATGGCGTTTCTCCAAAACCCAACTTCGGTTCCTTAGCCCAATTTACAAGTCTGGCTATCTCTGACCTCTCCATGCTTCCATGCTCCCACCTACCGTCAACCAATCATGTCAATGCAGAGCTATACAGAGCCCTCCGCATTGAAAAGAATGTGGGAGGCACACAGGGATGCGGTAAGGAGCTCGATTTGCCAGAGTAAGCAAAAGTTGGCTTAAGAGGGAGGCTTGCACTGCTGGTGCTGGCACATGCACAGATCAAATACACTGCTGGATCTCCGATTAAAGAAATGCTCCAGAACTTTGGCAACTACTAAATATTTTTTAAACCTCCCACTTTGGGCTGGATGTGTCAATGTGTAGTTCATGCATAATCTATGAGCAGAGAGAGATAGCAATGATGTGGTGGACAATTTTTGGCCAGTGAGAGCTACTTTCAGAACTACTGGCTAAGAATACAAAATTACCGTAGAATCTCTTTAAGCTGTTTGCTTGTCCTAATAATTCGAAAGATCGCTTAAAACACCTGGTTTCTGAACAGTGTATGCTTACAACGATTATGACCTTATGCCATACTCTGCCTACTACCATAATCAGTTTAATTTCAAATTATTAGTATGCATGTACTGTTTCCCCAGTGAGTCAGCTGTTGCACCATTGCCATCTAGAGGATACACCATGTAAGGAAAGGCTTACTGTCCATACACACCCCCTCTCAGAACAGTCTGGATCTAGAAGACTTTAGTAATACAAAGACAGGCGATTCCATGCGTCTACCGGTACTTGGGACTATTGTGACAGTGTGCACTAAACCAGAGCATGTAGTTATCAGGAGCAAGTAAAAAATATTGTAATATAAGGGACTGGTTAACTGTATTGCACTTAAACTTTGTGGGTATGACAGTGGAGATTAGTGGAGTAGAACTGTGAAAAAAATGCCATGCTCTCTGATTCGCAGTGTCCCGGCAACAGAATGGGTCAGGGGGCATGGCCTAAGTCTTCAAAGACATTCCAGACACATTCTATGTCCTCTATGGATGCGCGTCCGTGCGTGCGTGTTCAGGCCTCTGGGTCCTTTACAGTATTATGCTCTGTGGGTTGAATACCTTTGTTAGGTAACACACACCATGGTAGTTAAAACACTTGATCAGGTTCACATGTCAATTATTAACTAGAGTTCCTCTCATCCAACACCGAAAGCTACTTTCCCAGTCAGTATTTTCCTGGACTTGCATACAGTATATAATAACTCATAATTTCAAATGGTTATTCCCTATTCTATATTCTCCATCTGGGTCCAGGAAACAAAGTAATACCAGTCAGTGAGTTCTAAACTATGTTTTTAGTACTATTACAATGTTTCATATCAAACTAAAAACAGAGCCAAACTCTCGAGTTTACTGTAGCCATCTATGGCTCTGTAGTCCTCCTTTACATTAGTGGATGTACTGCCATCTGCTGGTAAAACAGTAAAGCATTGGAGGGTTTCAGCACAGTGTGTCAGCAACAGCTCTAGAACAGTGGTTTCCTATCTTTTGGGGTAATGGACCCAACTAAAGCTTATGGTCTTATATTGTGACTCAAGTATTAAACCAAATATATGTTTCCATGCATAACTCAGTATTGAGCTGCGACCCAGGAGGACCCAGTAAAGGGACCCGACCCACCATTTAGGCACCAGTGCTCTACAGGAGTAATAGCCCACAGACTATACACTACAACAGGACTTTGGCCTGTGGGTGGGTGGTGTGTTCAATCTTATCTAGCCTCTGTCAAAAACACTTGTTAATGGACTGTCTGTTATTATGTTATTTTCTAAGACCTCGGTACTCCATCTGATAACACAGAATCATTACTGGAGGTAATTCAGGGTAAAGGACCCCGCCTGTTTGTATACTGGTCAAATGGATCCTTCCTTCCTTGAGGTCATCACTGATCTGTAGGAGATTAGACACGTTTATTTTTTTACTCAAAAAAGTGAAAGCAAAGGTACTATTCAGTTACCGGAAAGAAGGATGCCTTTCGCAAGTATTGAAGCAGACAAACAAAAGGTGTGATGGTGCCGCACTCAAAGATGTTGCATAAAGCTTACTTCAATTGTATTTATTTTCACTGCATCAGGGATAGTGTACACAGACGTTTCAGCTTTGCAGCCTTTTTTAGTGTGTAGGTACAAATATTATAAATTCAAAACAGCATTTGTAGGGAACACATGTGAGCAGCAGGTGCTTCTAATCATGGTTGCCACTCATCTGCCAATCAGGGATGTGGCTTCTCTGTTCTACCTGTATACAAGTTAGTCACAAAGAAATACTGAATTATAGGGTATGGGAGCGGGCACGAAGGGCAATTGAGGGCATCAGGCGTGAACCATTCATGAATCAATTGCCTTAGGTGTCTGCTCACTTGGATACATTACATCAATTAATGAGATAGCTTACCACAAAGGACATCAGGCTCAGCCTTCCATAAATATGTGGGGCTAACTCAAACAATACGCAAAATCTGATATGATAGTGTCCTTGTATAACAGTCTAAATTTGGCCTATAGGAAGAAGGTGAAATCTAGTTATTTGTTTAAACCGTGTGGGGATACAGAATTAAATGTATACATCCACATGGCTTCTCTTTGGAGTAATTTAACTAAATATTGAAGCAGACCTGTATTTTACCCAGTTCAACATGGCTTGGCTTTCCAACTTCATCACCACCAAAAACACACACACACCCCACAGTGGTCATTACAAAAGTGTGTTTATTGGGGTAGTTAGGCACTGTACAATGATACGGACATATCAAAGCCCTGCTCCACAGAAGACATTACTATTAATGGATGCTTAGTCGAGATGTAAGTATTAGTGAGATGCACTAATCAAAGTATTTAAACATACAAGATTGTCAACAATGAAAAGTCACAAAATAACTGGATTAGTAGCAGTTGATACTCACAGTGGGCCTATCTGTGCCGCATTTCATTTATTCAATGAAAGGCTGTTGTGGCATCTATAAAGTTAACTTCAAAATAATAATTTGTCATGCCTTTTCAAGTGGTCCAATATCGAAATGAGATTGAGTGTTTATCTTCCAGTCGACGTGTGCGTGTGTGTGAGTACCTTCCAGTCAACAGGTGCTATGAGAGCAGTGAGCTGCAGAGAATCGATGACACGGAGCAGCTCGTCAAAGTTCCTCCCAGTGGTGGCCGGGTACAAGATGGACAGCTTCATCTTCTTATCTGGACCAACCATAAACACCTGTGGGAGGGACCAAAGGGGAAGGGTCACATAAACACCAATTGGATCTTAATTTTCTTCAGCAAAACTATGTTGCCCTTTACATCTCATGGATGTGTGTGTGACCTCTCTCACACAGCGTGCGGTGAGGGGCATGCCATCCTTGTCGATCTCATCAGGGTCCAGCATGCCCAGCTGAACTGACAGCTCCCTCTTATCATCAGCGATGATGGGGAAGGGCAGGGGAGAGCCTGCACTCTCACTGTTAAACGCCATTACATCCTACAGACAGAGAGAGAGAGGTTAGAGTTCAGGGGTTAGCAATGATGGGGAAGGGCAGGGGACCGTATCACCTTTACTGGCTCCAATTTAGATCATTTAAGTCTTTACAGACTTCACCACTGCTAGTAGAGTAAAAGTGTCCTTTCTTTTCTCAGTAACTCACTAAAGTAATCATGGTGGGAACAGCAGAACCTGTGACTGTATATGTAGTATAATCTACAGACCTGAGAACTAGTCTGAAGTGTGAACTATAGACCCTGACCCTTTGAAGACATTGGACTCCGATCGGAGTGACTCAGCTCTTTCAGTCACATTAACATCAGGGTGACTGGGTTAGAGCTGTCACGATCGTCATATGGAACAGACCAAGGCGCAGCGTGATGAACAAACATACTTTAATTAGTTAAAGTTTAAACACAATACAAAACAAGAAACGACTCGTGACGTCCAACGGTATCAATGACCGAACACGGAACAAAAACCCACAAACACAAAGGGAAAACAGACAGTATAAATATGGCTCCCAATCAGAGACAACCAGCCAACAGCTGACACTCGTTGCCTCTGATTGGGAGTCACTCAGGCAAACATAGAATTAAACACAACAGAATTACCAACATAGAAATACACACATAGAATGAACACACCCTGGCTCAACATAATGAGTCCCAGAGCCAGGGTGTGACAAGAGCAGGTTGTGGCAAGAGTGCATGTTTTGTGTGACAGTACCCCCCCCTAAAGGCGCGGACTGCGACCGCGCCTCAACTAAACAAAACAGGGGAGGGCTGGGCGGGCATACCTCCTCGGCGGCGGTTCTGGCTCCGGCCTTGACCACCACCCTCCAATACACCCCCCATAGCGCCCCTGGTCTAGTCTGGCCCCGCCGGCAAGAGCCGAACTGGACTTAGCAGGAGCGGTTAGCTTCAGCTCCATAGTGGAGCAGTTGACCGGTACCTTACCAGGCACCGGTGACCCAGGCACGGGTTGTGCTGGACTGACGACGCGCACCCCTGGCTTGGTGCGTGGAGGAGGAACGGGCCTTACCAGGCTGACGACGCGCACCCCTGGCTTGGTGTGTGGAGGAGGGACGGGCCTTACCAGGCTGACGACTCGCACCCCTGGCTTGGTGTGTGGAGGAGGGACGGGCCTTACCAGGCTGACGACTCGCACCCCTGGCTTGGTGCGAGTGGCAGGAACAGGCCGGGCCGGGCTGGCGACGCGCACCGTAGACTTGGTGCGAGTGGCAGGAACAGGCCGGGCCGGGCTGGCGACGCGCACCGTATACTTGGTGCGAGTGGCAGGAACAGGCCGGGCCGGGCTGGCGACGCGCACCGTATACTTGGTGCGAGTGGCAGGAACAGGCCGGGCCGGGCTGGCGACGCACACCGTAGACTTGGTGCGAGTGGCAGGAACAGGCCGGGCTGGCGACACGCACCGTATACTTGGTGCGAGTGGCAGGAACAGGCCGGGCCGGGCTGGCGACGCGCACCGTAGACATGGTGCGTGGAGCAGGGACAGGCCGGACTGGGCTGGCGACGCACACCGTAGGCTTGGTGCGTGGAGCAGGGACAGGCCGGGCTGGGCTGTCGACGCACACCGTAGGCTTGGTGCGTGGAGCAGGGACTGGCCGGACTGGGCTGGCGACGCACACCGTAGGCTTGGTGCGTGGAGCAGGGACAGGCCGGACTGGGCTGGCGACGCACACCGTAGGCTTGGTGCGTGGAGCAGGGACAGGCCGGGCTGGGCTGTCGACGCACACCGTAGGCTTGGTGCGTGGAGCAGGGACTGGCCGGACTGGGCTGGCGACGCACACCGTAGGCTTGGTGCGTGGAGCAGGGACTGGCCGGACTGGGCTGGCGACGCACACCGTAGGCTTGGTGCGTGGAGCAGGGACAGGCCGAACCGGGCTGTGGAGACGGATAGGAGCCCTGGAGTGAAGAGCGGCCACAACCCGTCCTGGCTGAATGCCTACCCTCACACACTCTGTGTGAGGCATCCGCACAGGACGGTGTATCCGTAACCTGGTGGCCTCCAGAATCCGCCCCTTTTTTGCCTCCGTCAGCCCCGTCGTCCATGCCGTGTGCCCCCCCCCCTAAAAATTTTCTGGGGTTGCCTCTCGACCGTCCGACGACGACCCTGATCACGCCGTTGCTCCTCTCTACGGCGCGCCTCCACCGTCTCTTCTCCCGGCGCTTCCTCCCATGTCCAGCCCAAGAGCTGCCCCTGGACACGCTGCTTGGTCGTTGCATGGTGGGTTTTTCTGTCACGATCGTCATATGGAACAGACCAAGGCGCAGCGTGATGAACAAACATACTTTAATTAGTTAAAGTTTAAACATAATACAAAACAAGAAACGACTCGTGACGTCCACCGGTATCAATGACCGAACACGGAACAAAAACCCACAAACACAAAGGGAAAACAGACAGTATAAATATGGCTCCCAATCAGAGACAACCAGCCAACAGCTGACACTCGTTGCCTCTGATTGGGAGTCACTCAGGCAAACATAGAATTAAACACAACAGAATTACCAACATAGAAATACACACATAGAATGAACACACCCTGGCTCAACATAATGAGTCCCAGAGCCAGGGTGTGACAAGAGCAGGTTGTGGCAAGAGTGCATGTTTTTATTTTCAAGTGTTAAAATGGTGGAGAAAGTTCCTATGTTCACAGCAGCAGTATAAATAGCAGTAGAATGGCTGTTCTAATCAACAACTGGATATCAGACAAAATTAATACTGCTCCTCATTGTGGGAAGGAAGGCTGCCATTAGTCACACAGTTTCAGCCAGAGATGTGTGTGTAGGGAGAGGGGGTTAGGGCGAGGCTTAGAAAGACCAAAACTGAATACTTTATTCAGTGAAAGTGATTTTCACAGGACAGATTTTCACTACGTAGTTAACTTTTCATCCAAAAAACGTGTTGTTGTGAACTTTGGAGGACATTGCTGTTGCTGCTGTAGCCTAGCAACCTAACTATCTGTCCCATCACCGATACCCCAGTGTAAGATTTGATAACTTGGCAGGCCAGAGGAACTCTTTCCCTGTTGAACCTGAGAGAGGCTTTGGCGGGAGGAGGTGAAATGTTTAGGACCTTGCAGATAGAAATGTAATGAATAGAGCTAACATTCTTTCCTGTTCTACTTGATAAACAAACATATCTGTTCTACACAATATATTTCTGTAGAGAAATGGCCATCTGTGAATGCAGTTGAGCCAGAGTAACAGCTGTGCAGACTAAACCAGTCTCAGGGGGATTACACAGGGTGTGTGCATGTAATATTGATTTAGACATGGCTGACAGTGTTTAAATATGGTAGTAAATCTGTGAGAGAGAGGCTGTCCATATTGTAGTTATGCAATGTGAGGGAATGTTCTCTACATTTTAACCACTTAGGCAATGGATGCAGAGAGACAGGTAGAGACAGACCATGCTCCAGGCGAGATGGTCGGCCACGCTGTCGATGGACAGAGCGATCATCTTGACGTTGCGTTTCTTAAACTCATCGCTGATCTTGGCAGCACAGGCCAACTCTGTGGTACACACTTGAGTAAGGTCCCGGGGGTGGGAGAACAGGACACCCCATCTGGAGGAGAGGAGAGATGGAGGAGAGGAGCTATCAGTAGGTCTCAAGACAGAGTAGAGGAAATACCAGTCCAAATGCTCTGCAGCCAGAGAGCAACAAGTGGCTAGAAGTGGGAACAGACTCTGGCCTAAAACATTACACAATGTTTGTGTTTCACTTTAGCCGTTAACACTTAGTCAATGAGAGGCACAGCGTGACCATCGGACTACGTGAGGGAAGGTGGAAGGAAAGACTGAAAATCATGTGATTAGTCTCTGGAATGTGTGGTTGACCAATGATGCAACAGTGTGTGGAGTGTGTAAGTGTGAAGAAAATAACAGGAAAACTTGTGGTACTGGTAACAGATGCTTTGTAGAACTACACCTTTTTAGTATCATATTACATCAAAACAATAGAGACGGGGTCATTGACTACAAAAGCAAGCTCTCTAAACATTGCTCTCCTCCCATCCATTCACCACTCATTGTGTCAGACTAGGACAGTATGGAGGTTAGAAAAATAGTTCAAAGTAGGACAATACAAGTCAAGACAGTAATTGTGGCCACTGTCTGAGGTTTTTACTGAAGTACCACAATTTGCACATCATTCTGTATTCAGTGTTGGGGAGTAGTGAACTACATTTTGCAGTAACTTGGTGGTAGTTGAATTAAATCAAATCTTGGTAGTGTTTTCAGTAGTTAATTGCTTTTTTGCCATGTAGCGGTGTAGCTAACTACTGGCACTACATGCTACTTTTTAGGCAAGAATTTCCTTTCTTTTTTGCAACAGACCTGCCCAATTCTCACTGTGTTTAATAGGCTAAATTACACATTCTGACTACACACTAAAAATAAAAAGGTTCTTGAGGGGTTCTTTGTCAGTGGTGAAGGTGATATGTGTGACCATTTTCACCAAATGGTTCTTTGCATATCAGGAAGGGTTCTTTACTGCTGTGATGGTTGTTAGTTGCCTGGAAGTTGCTGTGAATTTTGTGTTACCTAACTGGCAACTAGCTGTCAGTAAAATATTGTAATTAAAAGCCATTAACTGCTAGTATCTTACTTGCAACTAGCTGCCAGTAATGTACTGTACTTTCACTGAACTTTTCTGAAAACAAGATGGCTTAACATTAGTTGACAACTACTAAGCATTCTTTGTGGTGAGCACACTTGGGAGTCCGCTTCACCTGGCCTCAACCTCTTGGTTGTCAGCAAACTGACCTTCCTGCCACACAATCAGGTCAGTGGCATTTTCTATACGCACAAAAAGCTTTTCTCTAAAATGTTGTGCACAAATTTGTTTACATCCCTGTTAGTGAGCATTTCTCCTTTGCCAAGACAATCTATCCACCTAACAGGTGTGGCATATCAAGAAGCTGATTAAACAGTATGATCATTACACAGGTGCACCTTGTGCTGGGGACAATAAAAGGCCACTCTAAAATGTGCAGTTTTGTCACAACACAATGCCACAGATGTCTCAAGTTTTGACGGAGTGTGCAATTGGCATACTGACAGCAGGAATGTCCACCAGAGCTGTTTCCAGATAATTTAATGTTCATTTCTTTACCATAAGCCGCCTCCAGTGTCGTTTTAGAGAATTTGGCAGTACGTCCAACTGGCTTCACAACCGCAGACCACGTGTATGGCGTCGTGTGGGCGAGCGGTTTGCTGATTTGAACGTTGTGAACATAGTGCCCATGGTGGCGGTGGAGTTATTTATGGGCAGGCATAAACTATGGACAACGAATACAATTGCATTTTATCGATGGCAATTTGAATGCACAGAAATACCGTGATGAGATCCTGAGGCCCATTGTGAGGCCCATTTTTTTAAAGGTATCTGTGACCAACAGATGCATATCTGTATTCCCAGTCATGTGAAATCCATAGAATAGGGCCTAATGAATTTGTTTCAGTTGACTGATTTCCTCACATGAACTGTAACACAGTAAAATCTTTGGAATTGTTGCATGTTGCGTTTATATTTTTGTTCAGTATACATATCTACCTCAATTACCTCGTACCCCTGCACATCGACTAGATACTGGTACCCTGAATATATAGCCAAATTATTGTTACACATTGTGTATTTATTATTACTTTTATATTTTCTTTCTCTCTGTATTGTTGGGAAGGGCCTGTAAGTAGGCATTATACAGTTAGTCTACACCTGTTCTTTACGAAGCTATTGACAAATAACATTTGATTTGTTGATTTTCTCTCTCCATCTTTACAAGAATATAATCAATATGCCTTGACAATTTACAATCTAATAGAGTGTAAACTGTCATGGTCGAGGCATATTGATTATATTATTGTAAAGATAGAGAGAAGTCTGTCTGTGATAAAGAGATGCTCTGCTTTATTAACACCACATTCGACCAAACAAGTCCTGCAAGCTCTGGTTTTATTACATCTTGACTATTGCCTGGTTATATGGTGAGGAGCTGAGAAAGGGACCTAGGAAAGCGGTATTTGGCCCAGAACAGAGCAGCACGTCTTGCCCTTCATTGTAAACAGAAGGGTTAATATCAACAAGACACATGCTCGTCTCACTTGGCTTAAAGTAGAAGGCTTGACTGCATCACTTCTTGTTTTTATGAGAAATATTACTGTGATGAAAATTCAAAATTGTCTGTATAATCAAATAACACACAGTTCTGACAGACATATGTACCCCACCAGAAATGCCACCAGTGGTCTCGTCGCAATCCCCAAGTCCAAAACAAATTTAAGGCAATGCACAGTATTGTATAGAGCCATGGTTACATGGAACGCCCTTCCATCTCAAATTACCCAATAAAACAGCAAAATCTACTTTTGTTTAAATTATAACACCTCACGTCACAACGCCTCTCCCCTGCATGGGCAGCACCATTGAGGCCATCTCCATTTTAAAGTAGTCAATTTACTTCTTCACGATTGGCTGATCCCTCCTGATGACCCAGTGGGACATGACTCCAACCGGGTCATCAGGAGGGATCAGCCAATGAAGTTGGAAGTCCCACCCAGTTGACTACATTAAAATGGTGGAAGCCCTCAATGGCTTGATGGATGGATGAAGCTAAAAGGGGTTACTTTGCTGATAAAATCATTGAGAACAGAAATGACCCTAAAAAGCTTTGGAAATAATTTAAGGAACTAGGCTGTAGTAGTACTACCAAAAACAAACTAAACAGTATTGGACTGAACTCTTTTTCATTTGCAAAGATAGCCACAGCCAAAGTAGCCAGTATGCTAGCAGAGCTTAAATGCTCCAAAGCCATAGGCCTGGATAATAGTCCTGCAAGATTTCTCAGAGATTCTGCTGAGCAAATTGCCCCTTGTATTAAGCATATCGTTAATCTCTCTCTTGAACAAGGCATCTTTCCCAGGGACATGAAACAAGCAAAAGTTATACCTCTGTATAAGAAAGGGATAAAGTCTGACCCTGGGAATTATAGGCCTGTATCTATCCTCAGTATAACATCAAAGATCCTGGAGAGAGTTGTACATTTGCAAATTTATGAATGTCAACTCACAAAGTCAAATGTATGATTTTTAGTCTGGTTTTCCAAAAACATACTCCAAAGATTGTCTACTTTACTTGACTGACTTCATCAGGAAAGAGATTGATGAGGGAAACCTCTGTGGAATTGTACTGCTTGACCTACAGAAGGTTAACCACTGTCTCCTAATCTCCAAACTGGAGGCACTGGGGTTAAGTAGTATCCCTCTAGGCTGGGTAAAGTCATATTTGTCAGGTAGGGAGCAAGTGGTAGATGTTAATGGTTCACTGTCTCAGGCAAAACCAATGAGTTGTTGCGTTCCGCAGGGGAGCGTGCTTGGATCTCTACTGTTTTTACTGTATATAAACAATTTGAAAGATGTGTGTTCTTGCCATCTTTTCCTTTATGTGGATTACTCTACACTTCTGGTGTCTCACAAAAGTAAAACTATGTTGGAGAGCATACTTAGCACAGAGTTTACTAACATTATCAAATGGAGATAATAAGCTATCTCTGCACTTAGGTAAAACTGAGGCAATTCTTTTTGGGTCCAGACCTAAATTGTGTAGGTCCTCTGAAATCAGAGTGGAGTTAGGGGATGAGGTGCTGACTACTTAAACCTATGTTACCTACCTGGGATGCATCCTTGATGGAAGCTTGGGAGGTGTGAGCATTGCCACTAAATTGCTAGGGAATTTATTTTATTTTATTGATTTAACCTTTATTTAACTAGGCAAGTCAGTTAAGAACAAATTCTTATTTACAATGACGGCCTATTTACAATGACGGGAAGGTTAATGCCAGGACTACGTTTTTGGCTAGAAAGTCCAAGCTGCTTGATAAGGACTGCTAGATACTGCCCTCATTCAATGCCATTTTGACTATGCTAGTAGTTCCTGGTATGGGGGCTAATCTAAGCTTCTGAAGGGGAAGCTCGAGATAGCCCAGAATAACCTGATCAGGGTAGTATTGAAGGTGAGTCCACATCCTCACATAGGCAGGAGCTGCTTTCAGGAACTCAACTGGCTGCCTGTTGAGGGTGTCCCAGATTAGACTGGGTTTTGTTTACAGGAGTATTTATGGTTCTGCACCCAGATATCTAACTGATGACTTTCCCCATGTTAAGGATGCACACAATCACAGCACCAGATCAGGTGTTGCTAATGTGTGCTTATACAGGTTCAGGAGTAATGCTGGGAAGGTACTTTCTTGAATACTGGAGCCTCAGAGTGGAATGAGTCGCCTCTGCCCATAAAAACGACATCCTCTCTGGGAAGCTTTAAAAATAAAGTAAAAAACAGTTTGATGTCTTCTGTGCCCATATGAATGTACCCTACGATGTAACTGCAATGATGAGATAGATGTTCTTCTTTGTTTTTATGTTTTATTATCTCGCTGTCATACTGTGTTCAACCGTGTTCGATCTTGCCTAGCCATCTTGTTTCAAGAGGACCACAATGGAAATAAATCCCAGACTTTATTGTGTTATCCTTGATGATTTTACTTTGAAGCTTTTTCAAGTTGTGTGTGCTTGTTTTTTTTAAATGGTCGAATTAATCAACTAAAAAAAAATAAAAAATTGGATGGTCAGCAGACTCGCAGCCAAAAGCGGATTGGAGCCCTGAGACACACTCCCCTAAACATTGGCAGCCTTGTCTACTCAGTCACACACTCTCACTGCAGGCTGGTTTAACACACTGGGGCTATTGTTGTCCTCTAAACATTTGTACCTATAAATGAAGGAGGGGCAGCTGGATATAGCTGCACACACATCTACATACTCACGTCACAACGACTGAATTTTAAAATGGGATGTTGAAGTTCAGACTGTTGCAGAAATAATATAAATGTATAAGGCTAGCCTAGAAAAAAGCCTTTAATTTTACAGAATATAAATGTATGCATGGGGCGGCAGGTAGCCTAAACGGTTAAGAGCGGTGGGCCAGTAATCGAAAGATCGCTTGTTTGAATCCTTGAGCCGACTAAGTGAAAAATCTGTTGATGTGCCCTTGAGCAAAGCACTTAACCCTAATTGCTCTTGTAAATCCCTCTGGATAATAGTGTCTGCTAAATGACTAAACATTTACAAATGTAAACAATGTTAGCCAGCATCATACCACCCTGCCTCCTATAATAATAATAAATACCACTTCCAGCAGCATCTGGTCTCCCATCCAGGGACAACCTTCAGAGGCAAGCCAGCATTGGAATAGGCTGCTGGCTAACATTGTTTACATTTGTAAATGTTTAGTCATTTAGCAGATGCTATTATCCAGAGCGACTTACAGGAGCAATAGGAGGCACTCTTTCCTCTGGTCTAAAAAAAAAAGATCGTAGGGTGCAGTCTTTCGGATGGGATGTTAAACGGGTGTCCTGACTGTGGTCATTAAAGATCCCATGGATCTTAGGGGCATTAACCCCAGTGTCCTGGCTAAATTCCCAATCTGGAACTCATACCATCATGGCCACCTAATCAGCCCCAGCTTACAACAGGCTCATTCATCCCCCTCCTCTCCCCTGTAACTAATCCCCAGGTTGCTATAAATGAGAATGTGTTCTCAGTCAACCTACCTGGTAAAATAAGGAATAAATCAAATGAAAAAATGTAGTATGTACAGCTGTCAATGTTTTGTGTGACAGTTCAGTTTAATGTCTCTCCTAAGGACAACCTTCTGTAAAGGCTCAGGTCAAGAGTGTATACGTTCGAAACAGGAAGTATTTATATCAAAATCAATTAAATCTAATTCACGATTGTCTGAAATTTCAATGGGGATTGAGGGTCAACATTTTTTGCAAACAGTTGATCAGACTGTGTCGCGTGACCTCTAGCCTCCCCGGTTTTAGGATCTGATCTGGGATCAGAGTTCTCCGCTTTCCATATGACCCCGAACCACAGGTTTACATGTTAAAAACCGAAACTGGTCCTGGGCCGGTGCTTAGTGTCTATGATTAGGCTACCATCATGATATGACACTTGCTTCCTTGGAATACCAATTTCACGCCGATGTCGTGGCAATGGGCATGCAGCCAAGTATATTTGCTTATTGTCTGTATGTCGAATGTTACACAAACACACCATCAGTCAATTAGGCTACTGATTATGCAATTGATGACTGTCTGCTGCAGATACAAAATAACAGTTGAGGTACAGGTAGGCTATCGCAGATCATCACACCGACTTGTTTGGCCTACAACAGGTAGCACTTACAAGTTTCCTAAGAAGTCATGGAATTTGATCTTCCCGATGGTTGTCTCGGCTTCGAAGTTGGGGAACACGTCTCCTAGCAGTATCCCAGGCATATGTCCTCTCTCCGCGGCAAGATGATGTGAAGGAGAAGAAGTCAGTGGGGATAGTGGGGGTTATAGGGTTTCCACTAGTTACAACAGCCACAAAGTCAAAATTGGCTATATCGTAAAAATGCATGATTTAAAAAAAACATTTTGGTCTTAATGTGAGGTTAGGGTTAGCAGTGTGGTTAGGGATAAGCTAAGGGTTATGTTAAAATCACATTTTAATCAAATAAATTGTAGAAATGGGCGGGGTTAAATGACTTTGTGGCTGTAATAACTATTGACGACCGGGTTATAGGCTAGGTAACCTAATGTAGCAGGCTCGCTACGGACGGCTATATTGGTCGCTAATACAGGACTAGTAAAGGCCCAGTGCACTGCTTTTGTTGGGGGAAAAATTACATTTTATTTTAATTATTCATATTTTATTTTATTCTGTTTTTCAGGGTGTGCTGCAGCACCCTCAGCACCCCTACTTCCCACGGCTATGCCAATAGGCTAAGCTTGGTGCATTGACTGCAATACATTTTTCTATTAGGGCAAGCTAGTAATCTTAATCAAAATGTCATTATATTAAAAGGAAGCAAGGAAAATACATTATAAACTTTACACTAGTCACCTTTGCCTCAGTGTGATAGCTGCTCTGATTGGTGGGGGATTTTTCATACATGTAAACCTCTCTGTTGTCCATTCATTCAGGGCCATGTGTATAGACATAGAGCCAAAAGGCCGTATTAGCATGGGCATCACCATTTAGGGCGTTCACCATTTTTATGTAGTCAACTGGATGGGACTACCAACTCCTAGTGAGCCATGTCCAACCGGGTCATCAGAAGGGATCAGCCAATTGTGAAGAAGGAAATGGACTACTTCAAAATGGAGATTGCCTCAATGGTGCTGCCCATGCTGTCACTGATGCTATAATGGCACAGATACAAAGATGGGTCCTCTATCTATCTCTATGAGTCAGAGCCTATTTTATTTTACGCCGAGGGGAAAACAATTGTGCCCCCCCGTCGGCGAATAAAATAAATCGCTGCACCTCCACTCCCAAACCTTTTCCCGCTGCGACGCCTATTGGCTCTGAGTATAATGACAGCAGTATACCAAAACCAACGTCTGGCTATAATATGCAATATGCATATTCAGTAATATTCAATAACCGTGTTTTGTTCATAATTATACACATTTACAATAGTCAGGTAATGATTTAGTTTACCTACAAACTAATTTTCATGCCCTTTCTTGTTTTATTTGCTTCACTCTCAATCATGTGATCTCCACTTGTACAGTTTTCAACGAGAGCAAATCTCCCAGTGTGCATTGCGCTAGAAAAAACAAAAATGGCGTTTCAGGAAAGTGGTCGAGGACGTAAGGGAAATTGTCACCTGTGAAGCGATGAATTGAGAAGCACGAAAACCCGCATTTTCACAACTGACAACCGGCCCCTTCGATTTAAAAGGATTATATCTACTTTCAAACACAGAAACTAAACAAAATGCCTTCTCCTAAAGCCAAAAACAGCGCCAATCGCAGCGGAGGTGGGAGCCCAGGTCTCAGTGGCAGCACCAACGGCAACGGACGCTACGAGTTCATGTCGCTGAACCGAACCCCTCCACCCACGCTCCTCCAGCGGCAGGGCTCCGACCCAACCGCTGCAGCCAGATTGCGGGCCTCAGAGAGCCCTACCCGGCGAAGAGGCTCCGGGTCCTCCACCTCTTCCAACACAGGCATGCCCGAAGAGGACTGTATGCGGCTCAACCCTTCCTTTATCGGGATAGCCCTTAGCTCCCTCCTCGCCATAGACCTGTGGCTCTCCAAGCGGCTGGGGGTGTGTGCCTGTGAAGATTCCTCCTGGGGCAGCATTCGACCATTGATGAAACTGATAGAGATTTCTGGACATGGAATACCATGGCTGGTCTGGACAGCCTACTGCCTGTACAAGGCTGACAGTGCCGCAGGACAGGAAATTATGCTCAATCTCTTCATGGGTAAATATGATCATATTAATGTGTTTATTCATAGTAATGCTGATAGCAGCCTCCCGCATAGACAGCCGGAAGGCTCCTATTAGATTTCTTCCATAGAAATATAATTCAAATGTTAAGGTTGCCACCACACCACCTATTCTAATTGTCATGCATCCCACCACTCATCCCTATCCCCAGCCTTTTTACAGCAGACACACACACACACAGAGAGAGCTTGACTTGGGCAGGAGCTCACCAGAACTGAGTATCGGCACCTCAAATATTATTCTGCTTGAGTTCCTGCACCTCATATAGAATATTAGCTGAACAGTATTGAGGAGTTGCTGCACCTAAATATGAACGGTACCGGCACCCAAAATGAGTACCGGCACCTATTTCAGTCCAAGTCAAGCACTGCACACACCGCCAGGAGGATGCCATGCTTAATAATGAATGTCTATGTTGGTGTTTTTATTAGATCAGTAGGTAGCCTACATATTTATAGTCTGTAGTGGCTCCTTTTCCCCTTCTCCTCCATTTGCAATGATGTTAGAAGAGGTAGAAGATGAAAGCACATCCTTGGTAGGAATCCACCCACCCTATTGTTTTTCACCCATCTTGTGCTTTCAGATCAGTATCAGTACAGATTAGTCTGAGATGAGAGGAGGAAAGGATTTGGCACCTTGCCTTACAGCAGACACACACACTATTTCACCCCTCCCTTCACAATATTTTCTTTCTCTTTTCTCTCCCTGTTTTTTCCTTTCCTTCCTTTGGTGCCAGCTCCTTACTTGTAACTGTCATCCCTCCGTTCATCCTACGATCCATCTGTTTCTCTCCTTCACTACTGTCCAGACGCCCTCCCTCTCCATCCCCTCATCCAGCAGATCTGTCTCTCTGCTCCACTCTTCACAACAGTTCAGGCAAGGTGACACATAGTACAGTATCATAATTCCTTATGATTATGCGCCCTAGTGTATCTAACACACATAAGGCAATATTTTGGAGATGCTTGGAATTAAGCCTACAGTTGAAGTTGGAAGTTTACATACACTTAGGTTGGAGTCATTAAAACTAGTTTTTCAACCACTCCACAAATGTCTTGTTAACAAACTATAGTTTTGGCAAGTCGGTTAGGACATCTACTTTGTGCATGACACAAGTAATTTTTCCAACAATTGTTTACTGACAGATTATTTCACTTATAATTCACTGTATCACAATTCCAGTGGGTCAGAAGTTTACATACACTAAGTTGACTGTGCCTTTAAACAGCTTGGAAAATTCCAGAAAATGATGTCATGGCTTTAGAAGCTTCTGATAGGCTAATTGACATCATTTGAGTCAATTGGAGGTGTACCTGTGGATTTATTTCAAGGCCTACCTTCAAACTCAGTGCCTTTTTGCTTGACATCATGGGAAAATCAAAAGAAATCAGCCAAGACCACGGAATTGTTTTTGTAGACCTCCACCAGTCTGGTTCATCCTTGGGAGCAATTTCCAAATGCCTGAAGGTACCACGTTCATCTGTACAAACAATAGTACGCAAGTATAAACACGCAGCCGTCATACCGCTCAGGAAGGAGACGCGTTCTGTCTCCTAGAGATGAACGTACTTTGGTGCGAAAAGTGCAAATCAATCCCAGAACAACAGCAAAGTACCTTGTGAAGATGCTGGAGGAAACGGGTACAAAAGTATCTATATCCACAGTAAAACGAGTCTTATATCGACCGCTCAGCAAGGAAGAAGCCACTGCTCCAAAACCGCCATAAAAAAGCCAGACTACGGTTTGCAACTGCACATGGGGACAAAGATCGTACTTTTTGGAGGAATGTCCTCTGGTCTGATGAAACAAAAATAGAACTGTTTGGCAATAATGACCATCGTTATGTATGGAGGAAAAAGGGGGTTCCTTGCAAGCCGAAGAAACCATCCCAACCGTGAAGCACGGGGGTGGCAGCATCATGCTGTGGGGGTGCTTTGCTGCTGGAGGGACTGGTGCACTTCACAAAATAGATGGCAGCATGAGGAAGGAAATGGATGTGAATATATTGAAGCAACATCTCAAGGCATCAGTCAGGAAGTTAAAGCTTGGTCGCAAATGGGTCTTCCAAATGGACAATGACCCCAAGCATACTTCCAAAGTTGTGGCAAAATGGCTTAAGGACAACAAAGTCAAGGTAATGGAGTGGCCATCACAAAGCCCTGACCTCAACCCTATAGAACTGAAAAAGCGTGTGCGAGCAAGGAGGCCTACAAACCTGACTCAGTTACACCAGCTCTGTCAGAAGGAATGGGCCAAAATTCACCCAACTTATTGTGGGAAGCTTGTGGAAGGCTACCCAAAACGTTTGACCCAAGTTAAACAATTTAAAGGCAATGCAACCAAATACTAATTGAATGTATGTAAACTTCTGACCCACTGGGAATGTGATGAAATAAATAAAAGCTGAAATAAATCATTCTCTCTACTATTATTCTGACATTTCACATTCTTAAATTAAAGTGGTGATCCTAACTGACCTAAGACAGGGAATTTTTACTAGGATTAAATGTCAGGAATTGTGAAAAACTGAGTTTAAATGTATTTGGCTAAGGTGTATGTAAACGTCCAACTTTGTTTTTTGTTGTTGTTTTTTTTAGTCATTTAGCAGACGCTCTTATCCAGAGCGACTTACAGTTAGTGAGTGCATACATTATTTTATTATTTTATTTTTTTCATACTGGCCCCCCATGGGAATCAAACCCACAACCCTGGCATTGCAAACGCCATGCTCTACCAACTGAGCTACATCCCTGCCGGCCATTCCCTCCCCTACCCTGGACGACGCTGGGACAATTGTGCGCCGCCCCATGGGTCTCCCGGTCGCGGCCGGCTACGACAGAGCCTGGATTCGAACCAGGATATCTAGTGGCACAGCTAGCACTGCGATGCAGTGCCTTAGACCACTGCGCCACTCGGGAGTGGGCCAAAATTCACCCAAAAAACGGTATCTTGAATTCTACAGTGCGGGTTGACTCATAACCCGCAGTCCCTGCAGTTATATCCACGGGGCGGGCGTGTTTAGGGTCATAAAATATGAAGGGCGGGTGGGTTGAATAAAGAGAAAACAATGCATTAAAAATCCACAAATGGATAATTATTTTGCAATTCATGTCTATAGGCTACATTGAGGTTTTTCTTTCATATTTTTTTATCTTCAATAAGTGCATAAGCCTAAGCTTTAGGGCCTAACTGTACGCACGCTAAATACACACCAATGACCAAATGCTTTTGGGAACTTTGGCAGAAAAATGTCGGAGTTTAATTCAATAAGAGAAAAGCTGCGAAATGGAGAGTTGAAAATAAAGAGAAGGGAGGGCCAGAACAGTAATGTTTGGGAAAGATTTGTTGAAGTGGTAAAAGATGATGATACCACTTCACCAAAGTTATGTTATGTGTGATTGTGAGGTGCAAATTCGAGAGACAAGACGGGGACTTCAAATATGGCACTTCAAGGGAACTGTTGCCTACTGTTCAGATAGGTTAAATTGAATAGTAACAGAAATCTGGACACTGACTATAAACTCTCACAGCCTAATATAATATCAACTCCTAAAGAATTATACATTTCTAGCAGTAAAATTATACACCAAATGTAAATTTTGACTCGGGAACAAGTGGAGAAATATTATTTATTTCAGCATCTTTAGAGAATGAATGTGCGATTAGGGACAGTCTGTAAAGGTGCTATCTTTATCAGCGACATAAAAGCTGATTTAGTATTTCTACCACAAAATATGCATTCTAGCCGAACTGAAATCTTATCATAAACATGTTGAGTCGTCACTGCTTTTAATTTCCTTAACTGGTCAAACTGATGTCATTAGAACATTTTGCACGGAAAATCTTTCTGGTATTTTTTGTTTTTTAGTTATTGCATTTTCTCCCCGGTCCCTAAACGGCTGCTGCACGAGAGAAGCAAAGATGAAAGGGTCGGGTGCAGGAGATTTTCACTTTATCACATAGTCGGGCGGTTGCGGATGGGTTATTAGCAAATGCGTGTGAACAAACAGCTGACCCGCGCATCACTAGTAAACACGCACACACGCTCTTCTGATGCTGATGCCAGATTCTCACACACACACACACACACACACTTACAATGCTGATGCTAGAAATATGCATACACATCCAGGGGGGAGCAGGCAGAGAGTGCCATCTGTTGTCGTCTCAAGTCTTCCAATGCTATGAACAGTCAGGCACTCTAGAAGAGACCGAGAATGTCCCCTGTTGTTGTGTAGTGGGGGTGAAGGAGAGTGTGAGACAGGCAGACATTCAGACAGACAGAAAAAATAAACAGAGTTACAGAGAGCGAGGGGTCCTCTGCACAGTGTGCAGTATAAGTATTCACAAGGTTCAGCCCGAGCTAGAATCTACAGTACACTAGCAGAGTGTGCCGATACCACTCAGTCGGCAGAAGTCTGTTGCTGTGTGATGCAGGCAGACAGGGGAGAGGCGGTCCCTGTTGTGTTTGTGTGTGATGCAGCCAGAAGGACTGGAGGAGCCAATGACCGCTGCTCCTTTACAGCCCAGATAAAAACACTGCTTGGATGAAAAGACTGCAGCTCTCTCTCTTCTGTCTTTGTTTCTTTCTCTTTCCTCACATCTTCTGTCTCTCTTTCCCTCCCTGGCAAAAATCCAAAGCTGTCACTGAGCGCGTGTGACGGTGTGTGTTTGTGGGGAGGTTCGGCTCAAACAAGCGTAGAGTTTAATGTTATCTCATATACTGTGATAACATTATACGTTTGTGTGGGTGCAATGTGTATTTCTGCTAATACTATATGTTGGGTGTTAGTGTATTTGTTAGTGTGTGCATACATTTGTTTGTTTTAGTGCTGTATACTGTTTGCTGACTGGTCTGTTTTCCAACTGTGTAATTGCTCTCATCTCTCTCATATCTCCCTCCCCACTCTGCATCCTCTCCCCACCCCTCCCCTCAGCTCTCATTCTAGACCTGATCCTGGTCGGCATCGTGAAAGCGGTCGTCCGTCGGCGCCGCCCGTCCCACAACCGCATGGACATGTTCGCCACCTTCTCCGTGGACCGCTACTCCTTCCCCTCGGGGCACGCCACCCGCGCCGCCATGTGTGCCCGTTTCCTGCTGGCCCACTTGGTGCTGGCCGCCCCTCTGCGGGTGCTGGTGTTCCTGTGGTCTGTTCTGGTGGGGCTGAGCCGGGTGCTGCTGGGGAGACACAACGTGACCGATGTGCTGTTTGGCTTTCTGATGGGCTACTGCCAGTACAACCTGGTGGAGATGCTCTGGGTATCATCGCTGGGCCTGCAGGGGCTGCTGGGGCTCATCCAGGGGTGAGGGAGAAGGGTTAAGGAGGGGTTGGGAGGGTGTGGTAGGTGGGAGACAGTGGCCCTGGCCCAATATGTTTGAAACATTGACTGATCCTGCCCCATACTGACACTGGTCACTCATCATTGCCTGTTCAAGACAAACAACTACAACAAAGCCTGCCACCAACCATCCATCCATATGTAATTGCAATCAGAAGTACCTAGGAGCAGGGTGCTCCTCCATACTGCGATAAAAGAGAGCGGGAGCGAGAGAAAGTGTGTGTCTGTTTGCGTGTCTGAGTGCTGTGTTCTCAAAGGGGAGAATGAATGCTATAGGTTAAAACTTATGAATTGATGATGGTGTCTGTGAGGACTTATTTTAGATTTGTAAGGTATAGAGCCTCACAGTTGAGGTGTCATAATACCCATAGAACCTAGCGGTCAAACATGGAAATGGTTCCAATCGTTTTTCCACCCTTCCTTTTTCCCATAGGGAATTTTAGAAACACTTAAAATAAGGGCTGTGTTTCGTGTAGGCTTACCCTGGTGTGACGTTTTGATAACCATGTAAATCTCTCTCGGACAAGGTGACTTTTATCAATATATTCAGCTCTATTTACTCTCATTCGAAAATGCTAATTAGCATCAAAGTAGACATCATGCAAGACTACAAATCCCTGTAAGCTCCTGCACGTCATCTCTAGCTGACACCTTTGCTAACAGGTATTATCAATTTAAAATTTGCACAAGACAGTTCACAGAATTGTCAATTTAAAGAAATGTAGCCAATTTATTCATTACTAAATTTAGCTAACATGAGATAGTCAATCCAGAGACTCCTACCTTTGCCTTGATTCAGCAGCCTCGACCACATCATCATGGCATTTGTAGTTCTTTATGATAGCCACATTAGCAGCTAATTAGCATTTCATTTTGGGGGGGTAAATACAGGTTAATTTATTGATAAAAGTCACCTTGTCCTAGAGCGATTTACACGGTTATCAAAACGTCACGCCAAGGTAAGCCTACACAAAACACAGCCCTTATTTTAAGTGTTTCTAAAATTAATGGTGGAAAAACATTTGGAACAATTTCCTTGTTTGACCGCTAGGTTTTATGGGTATTATGACTCATACTGTGGTACTCTATGTAAGGTTCACAAAATGGAATGGTTTGTCTTTTTTATTTCTCACTGAAATATAGTCACCCTGTATGTGTTATTGCGGATCTTGAGGAATAATTCCAGTTTTCTACAGATGGCTGTATGCTCAATAATAATTAACATTGATTATGTTTTAACCAAAGACAGGGGGCATGGTTTTCATTCCAAATTAGGTTACCCAACAACTTTACAGCTACGCTGACATCAAACATGTAGTTCATTCATTTTATAACATTTTAATGTGTTAAACGTGATCTCCCGTTATCTATGACTCTGAGACCTGATGGTGATCATCTTCATGTCAATGTGGAGAGTTGATTCCTTATAGTAACTGTCTAAATAGTTGTGCAACAGCCATGGTTGCAACAGGTTTGCAGTGGTTGGAGGGAAAACAGGAGATGGCAGGGCAGGTTTTATAGTTCAGTCCCAGAGATGGAAGAAGTAGAATAGCTTTTTGTCTTTCTGATAGAGATCACAAGACAGTGAATGTCCAAGACTGGTTGCTCATTCCTGCTGTACTGTTTTGTTACAGGCGTAACTGACACACGCACACACACACAAACTGTAATGTCTGTGTGTAGGTGTAGACAAAGCACCAGTCTGAGGAGCATCATTTAATGTTTGTCCAGGTTAAACCCCTGAGTGACACCAGCTGTAGTAATGGTGTAACCTAACGTAGCAGGCGGGTCATTCCGATTTGGACCCCCCAAAATCCGATTTGGACCCCCCAAAATTCTAACAATGCGTTAGACATGAGGATTCCAAAGAAATGGTCAAAAGCCACCCACGGACCCCCAACACCCCACGCCAATCTCAACCCAACAACAGGTATATAGTATCAGTTGTATATGTTTGACAAGTAGTATGGAGCTGCGGCTCGGAGTATTGTTTCTTCATCCTATGTAATGCATTCTCAGTGAATTTGGTGATTTTTTTTTTTTTTTTTCCCTGTTCAGAGAAATTAGTCTGAAGTTGTTAGGTTTATGTCTCATCCTACGTTCTGATATTACCAGGTTCTGACCACTAGATGGTGCTGTTCCTGCTATTAGGTAAAGAAATAACAATCCCCCCTTCAATGTTAAAGGGATACATCCGGTTGTTTGCAACTCCGCTAAGGGTGGTAATGGTGTAACCATGATGCGTGCCTTAGCCACTGGTTAGCTGTGGGCCGGATCTAGTGGCCAAGTGCTTTGCACCCTGTCCTTAACTGCCCTACTTTTAAACTGCTCTCTGCTCTGACTGCTGGTGCTCCTGCATCATGGCCTCCTCTCTATATGAATGTACATTCTCTGGTGCATGTGAGGCAGGAGTGAGAGACCCAGTCAGGGAGTTCTCAGGTGTCCTGGGTGTTTGGAGTGTTTCTGGGTGTTTACACAGACCGCAGCCATGTTGTGCCGTTGCTGGTGTTGTCATTTGGCTGTTGTTGATGTCACATTGTGAAGATCCTGCACAGACCCTAATCCTGTTAGATGGAACATTATTTTGTTGACTTGGATGACTAATATTCCCTCTCCTCTCCTTCTATCCACCAGGTGTGTGTGTGTGTGTGTGTGTGTGAGAGGAGGCCACCCACTCGATCACCTCCACCCTGGTAAATATGGAGGAGCAGCTTATTAGCCCTGTCTCTCACCCTTTTACCGTCTCTCACCCTTTTACAGCTCTATCTTCCTCTCTCGCCCCTCTCGCTCTCCCTCTCTGTCTACTTCTGGTCAGAGAGAAGAGTCTGACTTAATTACCTCTCCATTCCTCAGCTGCTCTTCACTATTTATATTTTATTCCATCCAGCTGAATCACTTCCCTTTCCCTTGACTCCCCCGAACTCACCCTCCCCTCACTCATCTACTCTTATGTAGCATCCAGGCTCAAGTATGACACCAAACCAAACATGAAGTGTTTTGCTGAAGTCTTTTGCTGGGAAGGATTTGGTATATGTTACAATGCAGTGAGTGCAGCTACACATGATGAGTTGGTCTTGATTGGTCTTCATGGACTGTTCCCTGAGAGATGGTCTACATCAGTAGGGTCTCTTTCTCCGACTGTTGTAAATAACGCATTGAGTTTCTCTCTCTCATTCATTCATACATGCTGTATTTCTTCAGCAATAATCCAGTAGTAGATATTAGAGCTAACCAGTGATTGGTCCTTGAATCAATACGATTCGACCAATGACATGGCTTCCCCAGAAACTGCTTCATGTTATCTTCTGATGAGAAACACCCAGCCAAAGTAATCATGGTTCTCTTAACATTGCAATAAGGAAGAACGCATCTCATTCTGTTTTGTGTTATCTATCTACTCACTAATGTATGTCTGAGAATATTATGTCCAATCAAATTGTATTTGTCACATGCTTCGTAAACAGTCGGTGTAGACTAACAGTGAAATGCTTACTTATGGGCCCTCCCAACAATGCAGGGGGAAAAAATAGAAATAATAAACTCAGCAAAAAAAGAAATGTCCCTTTTTCAGGACCCTGTCTTTCAAAGATCATTCGTAAAAATCCAAATAACTTCACAGATCTTCATTGTAAAGGGTTTAAACACAGTTTAAACCATAAACAATTAATGAACATGCACCTGTGGAACGGTCGTTAAGACACTAACATCTTACAGACGGTAGGCAATTAAGGTCACAGTTATGAAAACTTACGACACTAAAGAGGTCTTTCTACTGACTCTGAAAAACACCAAAAGAAAGATGCCCAGGGTCCCTGCTCATCTGTGTGAACATGCCTTAGGCATGCTGCAGGGAGGCATGAGGACTGCAGATGTGGCCAGGGCAATAAATTGCAATGTCCGTACTGTGAGACGCCTAAGTCGGCGCTACAGGGAGACGGGACGGACAGCTGATCGTCCTCGCAGTGGAAGACCAAGTGTAACAAGACCTGCACAGGATCGGTACATCTGAACATCACACCTGCGGGACAGGTACAGGATGACAACAACAACTGCCCGAGTTACACCAGGAACGCACAATCCCTCCATCAGTGCTCAGACTGTCCACAATAGGCTGAGAGAGGCTGGACTGAGGGCTTGTAGGCCTGTTGTAAGGCAGGTCCTCACCAGACATCACCGGCAACAATGTCGCCTATGGGCACAAACCCACCATCGCTGGACCAGACAGGACTGGCAAAAAGTGCTCTTCACTGACGAGTCGCGGTGTTGTCTCACAAGGGGTGGTGGTCGGATTCATGGTTATCGTCGAAGGATTGAGCGTTACACCGAGGACTGTACTCTGGAGCGGGATCGATTTGGAGGTGGAGGGTCCGTCATGGTCTGGGACGGTGTGTCACAGCATCATCGGACTGAGCTTGTTGTCATTGCAGGCAATCTCAACGCTGTGCGTTACAGGGAAGACATCCTCCTTCCTCATGTGGTACCCTTCCTGCAGGCTCATCCTGACATGACACTAAAGCATGACAATGCCACCAGCCATACTGCTCGTTTTGTGCGTGATTTTCTGCAAGACAGGAATGTCAGTGTTCTGCCATGGCCAGTGAAGAGCCCGAATCTCAATCCCATTGAGCACGTCTGGGACATGTTGGATCGGAGGGTGAGGGCTATGGCCATTCCCCCCAGAAATGTCCGGGAACTTGCAGGTGCCTTGGTGGAAGAGTGGGGTAACATCTCACAGAAAGAACTGGCAAATCTGGTGCAGTCCATGAGGAGGAGATGCACTGCAGTACTTAATGCAGCTGGTGGCCACACCAGATACTGACTGTTACTTTTGATTTTGACCCCTCCCCCCCCCCCCTTTTGTTCAGGGACACATTATTCAATATCTGTTAGTCACATGTCTGTGGAACTTGTTCAGTTTATGTCTCAGTTGTTAAATCTTGTTATGTTCATACAAATATTTACACATGTTAAGTTTGC